CCCACTGTTCACCCCAAGGCCCCCCCCCAACCCTTTACCCTCACGGCCTTCACTTCAAGGCCTCCCCCTCTGGGACCCCAACCCCTCTACCTCAGGCCACCCCCCCACGTTCCTCCCTTGCCCGTACCGTCCCCTTCCCGCCCACCTCCGGGTCACCGACGCTCCTCCTGCTCGACATCGTCTCACCACGCTTCACACGCTCCGCCGCCTCCCGCCGTCCGGCTCTGTCTGCCCCCACCACGCAACAATCCCCGCCCCGATTGGCCTCCCGTTCCCCTTTCAGCCAATCAGAGGAGGCGTAGAAACGTTCGGCGACCTGACGGCGTTCTGCCGTTGCCAAGCAACGGAGAGACGCCGGGCTCGGGGAGGGCGTGGCCAGGCTGAGGGACATGCGCATGCGCAGGAGGCCCTGCCCACGAGATGGAATGGCGGCGTGGGAGCCGCGCACCTGAAAGCGGGTGAGGGAGCGCCCGGCCTGAGGCCACGCCCACCGCCGCCAGGGGCGTGGCCTCCGCCAATCAGGAGAATGGAGAGAGTGGGGGAGGGGGCGTGGCTAGATATGGGGGCGTGGCTTGCGCGTGGAACAGGCGGGGCTTAGTGGTGAAGAGGTGGAGCTTGGAGGGGTGAGGTGTGCGGGGACGTGGGGAGGGTTATGGGGACGTAGGGGGGGTGGTGGGGGCTGTGGGGAGGTTATGGGGATGCGGGGAGGGTCATGTGGTCACAGGGTGGGTTATGGAGCCACGGGGAGGATTATGAGTTGGGTGTTGTGGGGATATGGGAAGGGTTATGGGGACACGGGGTTATGGGGGCATGGGCATGGGAAGGGTTATGGGAATGTGAGGTTATGGGGAGATTAGGAGATTATGGGGAGGGAACTGGTGTTTATGGGAGTCAGGTTATAAGGCCTGGGAGGTCATAGGGACATAGAGGAGTTATGAGAACAAGGGGGTGGTTATTGGGATGAGGATGGTTTATGGGAATGGAAAGGGTTATGGGGATGTAGGGAGGGTTATGGGCTTTATTGGGATTGGGGGTGGGCTTTATTGGGATATGGGAATGGGCGGGCTGTGGAGACATGGAGAGGGTTACGGGGTATGGTTATGGGGACTTGGGGAATGGAGATGGGGGAGTGTTATGGGGAATGGGAAGGAGAACATGGGGGAGGGTTATGGGGACATTAGGAAGGTTATGGTGATGTGAGGTTATGGGGACTTTGGGGGAGGTTATGGGGATGCAAGATTACAGGGACTTTGGGGGTGGTTATGGGGATGTGAGGTTATGGGGACTCTGGGGGAGGTTATGGGGATGCAAGACTACAGGGATTTTGGGAGTGGTTATGGAGATGTGAGGTTATGGGGACTTTGGGGGAGGTTATGGGGATGCAAGGTTACAGGGACTTTGGGGGTGGTTATGGGGATGTGAGGTTATGGGGACTTTGGGGGAGGTTATGGGGATGTGAGGTTGTGGGGACATGAGGTTATAGGGATGGGGGGATATGGGGTGGATGGCCATTTGTGGGGATGAAGTTATAGGGACAAGCTATCCCACCTCCTGCAGGATGAAGGAGTGGTGGGTGCAGGTGGGGCTGCTCAGCGTCCCACTCCTGGCCGTGTACCTACACATCCCACCCCCACGGCTCTCCCCAGCGCTGCTCTCCTGGAAGGCCTCTGGAGCTTTCTTCACCTACAAACACCAAAGCATCTTCTACAGAGGTAAGGACACCCCCATGGCCACCAGGAAATTGGGTTGCGGGCGATATTTGGGCTTCAGCCCATATATCCTTTTGTTTTGGTGGTGCCACATCTTGAGGTCCTTCCATTCCCTCCACAGATTCAACTGGCGCTGTGGGCAGCTCCGACATTGTCATCCTCCTGCATGGCTTCCCAACCTCCAGCTATGACTGGAGCAAGGTGAGAACATGGGGACACCCCGCTGGGATTCCTCCCTCCTGGCAAAACTCCTATTTTCCTACATTTTTTTTCTTCCTTGCAGATATGGGAAGGACTGACCCAACGCTTCCACCGGGTGATCGCTCTGGATTTTGTAGGGTTCGGGTTCAGTGACAAGCCTGTACGTAAGCCTGGAAAGAGGAGCTATTGGGGGTTTGGGAATTGGTGTTCATTTGGGTTTCACATCCCAATCTCTTCCCCCGTTCTGAAAAAAGGAATGAGACATTCTAATAGCAGAAGGGATAAATAAGGTTGATAGCGGAGATGGGTTCAGTCAATGCGCCACCCTTTCTTGGGTGTGATGTCCTCTAGGGCACATGGAGAATGATTATGGGGACATCTCCATCAGGCTCTTTATTTTGAAGTGTTTGTGGGTTCACATGCTCTCACGGTGATTCTGCTTTCCTTGGCAGAGGCCCCACCACTACTCCATCTTTGAGCAAGCCAGCATCGTCGAGCGGCTGGTCCGTCACCTCGGCCTCCACCACCAGAGGATAAACCTCCTGTCCCACGATTACGGGGATACGGTTGCACAGGAGCTGCTCCACAGGTTGCTGGGCTGGCTGCTCCATGTTCATAGAATCAAATGGTTGTTTTGGAAGGGACCTTAGAGGCCGTAGAGTCGTGGGAGGTTGGGTTGGAAGGGACATTAGACATTGTAGAATCGTGGGAGGTTGGGTTGGAAAGGATGTTGGAGATCGTAGAATCGTGGGATGTTGGGTTGGAAGGGCTTTCTTAGAGATGCCCCCCCAGCTTGCAGAGGGTGTTTCTCCATCTCCCCTTCTGTTCCCAGGTATGAGCACAATAAAACTGGCAGCATCCTGATCAACAGCCTCTGCTTGTCCAACGGAGGTGAGGTTTGCCCAGCACATCGGGATGGGTGGTAGGGTCAGATTTTAGAGGTCCTTCAGCTCAGGTTTTTACTAAGATTGCTGAAAGACTGGGGAATGCAGAACAAAACAATTATTACAGCATTACACCTCTGTTCTCTGTGATCCTTCCAGGAATTTTCCCTGAAACGTACTACCCCAGATTCATACAGAAGGTGAGCCTGTGGGAAAAGCACACCAGAATCACCCATCTGTGCCCTGCAGTGGTGCCACCTGCTTTTTCTTTCTGCCCCAGGTTCTCAAGGATGGGGGCTTGCTGTCCCCCATCATCACGAGGCTGATGAACTTCTTCTTCTTCTCTAGAGGGTGAGTTGGGCTCTGCAATGGTGGGTTCCATCCATGGGTGGGGGATGTGGAGGAGGGTATTTGGTAAAGAAATATAAATCCCAGGCAGAGGTTTGCTCCTGAATTTAAATAATCAAACCGAGGTTGGAAAAGTGGTTTATTTTGCTGGAATCCTTCTGTCCTATGAGGATGGAATTGCAATAAAACCTCTAAACCATCCTTTATGGGGTATAGGGTCAGGTATTTTCACCAGATATTGCTCATTTCTTTGATTTCCAAAAAGCCTTCGGGCCAAATGCGAAGCGTGTTTGGGGGATGAGTCGTAGGGTTTGCTGGCACCCACGTGCTTCACAGCTCCTCTTCAATATCTTTATTGATGACCTCGATGAGGGCATCGAGTGCACCCTCAGTAAACTCGCAGATGACACCAAATTGGCTGGAAGTGTGGATCTGCCTGAGGGTAGCAAGGCCCTACAGAGGGATCTGGACAGGCTGGAGAGCTGGGCTGAAGCCAATGGGATGAGTTTCAACAAGGCCAAATGCCGGGTCCTGCACTTCGGCCACAACAACCCCAGGCGATGCTACAGGCTTGGGGCGGTGTGGCTGGAGGACTGCGTAGAGGAAATGGACCTGGGGGTATTGATTGATGCTCGGCTGAACATGAGCCGACAGTGTGCCCAGGTGGCCAAGAAGGCCAATGGCATCCTGGCTTGCATCAGAAACAGCGTTGCAAGCAGGAGCAGAGAGGTGATTGTTCCCCTGTATTCAGCACTGGTGAGGCCGCACCTCGAGTGCTGTGTCCAGTTTTGGGCCCCTCACTGCAAGAAAGATGTTGAGGCCCTGGAACGTGTTCAAAGGAGGGCAACAAAGCTGGTGAGGGGTCTGGAACACAGGCCATATGAGGAGAGGCTGAAGGAGCTGGGAATGTTCAGCCTGGAGAAGAGGAGGCTCAGGGGAGACCTCATTGCTCTCTATAACTTCCTGAAGGGAGGTTGTAGTGAGCTGGGGGTCGGCCTCTTCTCTCGTGTCATTAGTGATAGGACCAGAGGGAATGGCTTCAAGCTACGCCAGGGGAGATTCAGGCTGGACATGAGGAAGTATTACTTTTCAGAAAGGGTGGTCAGGCACTGCAATGGATGCCCAGGGAGGTGGTGGAGTCACCAAGCCTGAGGGTGTTCAAGGAAAGACTGGAGGTTGTGTTGAGGGACATGGTTTAGTGGGAGCTATTGGGAATAGGTGAACGGTTGGACTGGATGATCTTTTAGGTCTTTTCCAACCTTGGTGATTCTCTGATTCTATAACGGGGGAGCGCTGACCCTTTTTGTGCCCTGGGTTCTTTTCAGGCTTGGCGCAGTCTTTGGGCCGTACACGCAGCCCTCACAGGCAGAGTACTGGGACATGTGGACGGCGGTGAGGACCAACGACGGCAATCTCGTCGTGGACAGGTAGGCCGCTGGGATTTCTGCGGGAGCTCTTGAGTTTGACGCTTTTGAAGGTTGCCAGCGCTCAGCCAGGCATCAGGATGTAGGATCCTCAGTCTCCAGCTGCTTCTGTTGGGCTTTGGGATCTCTGTTGTCCCCAAAACAGATGCGGGGTGTGATCTGAACACATCAGCTGTGTAACAATGGGCTTCTCTTCAGTATTTTGCAGTACATAAACCAGAGGAAGAAGCACAGAGACCGCTGGGTCGGGGCTTTGATGTCCACCTCTGTCCCACGTAAGTAGGAACGTTCTTTTTTTTCCCCATTTGGAGTGAGGCTCCCATCCCTGGAGGCACTGGAGTGTGGTGCTGGCTTCCTTCCATTCATCAGGGAGCTTCTTGCAATGCTGATGAGGATAACAAGGCTCAAGTTGGATCTGTGCAGGTTCAGTTGGGTCACCTCCTTGGCTCGGTGAAGGATGTCCATGGATACAGAAGTTCAATTTGTGCTTCTTTCTTGCAGTGCATTTAATCTACGGGCCCCTGGACCCTGTGAATCCACACCCAGAGTTTCTCCAGCTTTACAAGTAAGACACAGAGCAGCAGTATGCAGCTGGGGTTTCGTTATATGGGGGGTTTTGTCTCAGTTCCCTTTCCATAGGTTGGTTTTCCTTTTCACTTCCAATCTACACAGTCAGGCTGGACAGTAGTTTGGAAATTGTTTCCCAGTTTTAGGCATCAAAGTCACAATTCTTAGTCACAGCTATCGTGCATGTGATGATAAATCTTAACTGTCTGATGTGGTTAAAATTCCAGAAAATAGAACAGGGGTCACCTGCAGCTCTTGGAGGGTTTCTGATGCCAAAATCCAAGTTATGGAGAGAATCCCAACTGTGAACGAAGGCATTCATCAGCTGGTGGCTTTCTGTGCCTGCTGCAGTTCCTGTGCTTAAGTCTTGCTCCATTCATTTCCAACAGAAAAATGCTTCCCATGTCCACAGTGTCGGTGCTGGATGACCACATCAGCCACTACCCCCAGCTGGAGGATCCAACAGGCTTCCTGAATGCATATTTGAACTTCATCAACTCCTTCTGAGCTGCTGCAGCTCTGTTCTCTCTGTTTACAGCTCAAGAGACCTTGAGCTTTATCTCCAGATAAATGGACTTTGAATCTGTAAACCCTCCAAGTATAGACAGTATAGACGCTGTATTTGCAACTGTCAAGGGGCATCTAAGCACCCTAATTTTGGCTTTGGTAATCTCTTCTTACATGGAAGTCAGCACAAGGTCCCTCCTTCCCCCTTTATTTCCAGGACTTTTCACAGCTTGAAGCCCAGGAGAAAGCTGCAGTGGTGTTTGGTACAATTTGATAAGGTTCAGAGAATTGATATTCCACAGTGCAAAAGGAATATGCCATTCATAGGTGAAGTTTAATTTCTATATACATCGGGTTTTTTGGTCTCTATTTGACACAAAATTGTTTTAAAAATTGTACATTTATGGGCTAGCAGAGTCTGCAAGGTTTTGTTGTTTTTTAACTACTTGAATTTAACAGCACCCCTTTAGGAATAAGGGGCTTCTGCTAATTAAACAGCCCCTATGGGCTCATTTTTTGAACTGAAGGCTTGGAAGCAGACGGAATTAGAAGAAGAATTTTCTATTTTATTGAACAGTCATTCATAGGAATTCTACCATTTGGACCAGCGTTTATTTTCTGTTAATAAAAATCAGTTTTGACAAAATTCCAGTTCCAGTTTTCTTACCACCTACATCTTTTATTTTCCCTGCTCTACTGCCAGCGGCCAGAGACAATAAGTTAGAGAGGAATGAGCGAGTGATGCTGAGGGAAAGGACAAGGGAAAGGCTCAGTACCAGCCAGCCACTACTGTAACATCATACAAAATATTTACCAAATGGAGGAGTAAAAACAACATGCAGAAGGACAGACAGACAGCTTGATCTGGTGTACATCCAGCTGCTGTTTGCAAAGCTCCCACTGCAGCTGAAGCGCTGTAACGCTCAGCCTACAGAAGCCAGGATGACATCTACAGGCATTTCTTCCTTGCTTCTGACTGTCACCTGCATGGTCACGCCATCTCCCAGTGCAAGCCTGGACCTTACCAGCACATCACAACCACCTCTGTATACACCTGAAGACCAAAAACAACAACAAGACACGTTGAGCTTCTGGCCATTTGCACTGAGACTGGGGATTAAACCGAAACTTTAAATTCCTTCAGCTCTTGAGGCCAAGACTGAAGGTAATAACAGACATCCAGACTCAGCATGAGTTGCTGGGGGGCCAGGCAGAGTTACATGGACAAAAACCAGGAAGGGAATAGCTAAAGCTCACTTCCAGTTGGCAAAGGCAACACTGCCTTTGTACTTTGTACTCCAGATTCTGCCGTGAAGGCAAAATCCACTGTCTCAACTTCCAGGAGCTGTCCAGAAGCATAAGCCTGAACCACAGTCACCAAATAAATGTGACACAACAGGCCATTTTAGGATGAGGCTTTTTCAGGAACTCGAAAACAAAACAGTCCTAGAAACCTACTTTTGGCAAGGAATTTAGTTAGGTGTTTCTGGAAGTTCTTCTTCAAAGGATTCACTGTGTTCCCACATGCAGAATACCTTCATGCTGAGACACAAGGCCTAGCCTGAGTACACCCACAGTGGCAGGCTGCAAAATGAGCACCAGCTGCATGCAAAACTCACAGCTCTCCACAGAGAGGAACAAGAGCAGAATCTCCTTGCCTATTTCCCATCATTTAGTAAAAAATCTGTCTGAGAAACATGGATGAAAACAGTGTGAATACGTACCAGCTAAGTAGAGCGTGTGAGAATTTTTGTTCTCTGGCACTTTATCTGATCGCTCACAGGGCTGCATGCCCAAGAACTTGATGATGTTGTTGACAGCTTCTGCATTCAGAAATTGAAAAAGAACGTTATCTCCAGTTCAGTGCCAAGCTTTCTGTGAGAACTGACTTGTGATGTCCTTCCTGCTGTCTTTAACAGCCTAAAAAGGCACTGCCAAGCTTCCACTCACGACAGTCCCAGCACTGCAACACAAAGCTTTGTTGCTGGGACGTGATATGACACTGGAAGGCACCAAATCCTCCTCCTCCCACACTAACTACCTTCTTAGAATGGAAGATTTACCAGGATTACTACTGCATGGGTCAGTGATAAATGAGGACAAATCATCTTACCGTCGAGGGTTTTGATTGAACCCAGTGCAAAGGTTTCTTCTTTCTCAAAGTCGTCTCCCACTTCTTCCCACGCAGCTGCAAAGTTGGGCTTCAAAACCTTCTGAATATGGTCAGACACCGTCACCTCCAAATCTTCCAACTGACAGAAAGAAAAAAGCAAGGGAGTTTTTCAGCTGTCACTTACGAGAAGGATGCAATTCTTAGAAAGAAAAAAAGGCAGAGCAGCACTTTGATGAGACAACCCTGGCGTGACTGGCTTCAATTTCAGAAGAAATGCATAATAATACACTAAAAAAAGCAGAGAAGAAAAAAAAAATCAGTATTTGTGGTGGCCATCTGTAAAGCTTAGAAGAAAAATATACAGAAAAGAAACAGTGGCACCAAAGGAGAGCAGAAAATGGGGCAGTTGCTTTTTGACTCAGAGTTATTGCTTCCTTCACACCTGCTACCACAAATCCTGTTTTCACAGGGCACTAAAGCCAAACTGACTTTTGACAGAAGTGTGGTTTTGGGTAAGGATCTAAGCAGGCATGAGCTATGAGATTTTGGAAATAGTGTTTCAGGTACATCCTGTGTTCTCCTTGATGGGCTTCAGATCTGAAAGAAAACTGTCGGTGCAATGGCCACGTACTCAGAAGTAATGACAAGAAGACAGAACTCACCACGTACTCATCATCATAGCCATCTTCATCTGGGACTCCTGTGTTTGGGTCACAGTCCCGGACAGTAAACTTCATTGTGCAACTGAAAGTACAAGCAACTGGGGAGGAAAGGAAAAGTCCATACAGGTTAGTGGTGCAGTTTCTTCTGTTTGAGCCCTTGCTTCCCCAAAAGGAGTTTGGAGGAAAATACATCAGCTTTTCCCCAAAAGACAGAGACATGGCAGTGGCCAAAACGCTTTCCATCTTAAAAAATTTCCCCTAGACTCCAAGATGAAGATCAAAGGAAGATCTCAGAGGGGGAGCATTCCACAGTGTGACAAGCACAACTCCACCAACTTGCAGCCTGGTCTGCATCAGCCACCAGGACAAACCCTGCAAGGGTTCCTGACCAGTGGACTATGATCCAAAAAACAGAGTTTAGGGATTCAAACTAGCTCTGATCTTCTCTGGTTTAGAGTGCTAACCAAGACATCCACTGATAAGCTGAGTCACGTTAAATCAACTTCAAATCCAACTGAACTTACTTGAAGTGTGAACAGATTAGGAGAAAGAAATAAAGGTGCAATCTACCCATTGATCTTCCTCCATTAGCATTTTTGTTTTGCTGATTCTATTCCCCAACACTACCCCAGCATCCGTGCTTTCATTGACTCAAGGTAATAAACTCAGTTTCCCATACCATCTGCATTCTGTTCCTCATTACCATCTCATTTTTAATCATCCAATATGAATGATGAAAAAAAAGAATCACGTGTGCTATTTTGCACAAACAGGCCCTACACAAAAACCAGCATGTATGGCAGATGAGAAAAGCAGCACTGGAATCTCAGGATGGGCTCAAATCCCACAGCCTGAACAGTTCAACAGCTGATTGATACCTGCAGTGGGGTCATCCTGGGGCATCTGGACAAGGGTGTAACACATGCCTGGCTGGTTGTAAGCCAGGCTGGGTGCTGGGATGCAGCAGATCACATCATAAGCATCCGATGGCTCCATCTGCACAGTGACTCTTTCTAACAGCTGATCATTTAACGTGTTTGTGCAATCAAACTGCAGAAGTATAGAATGAAAAGGTCTCAAGAGCAGAAGCAGCATTTCTAATCAGCAGTTTCCCCCAAATTAGCTACAGTGCTCTGGCAGCAGTGCTTATTTTCCCTTAGAATCATAGAAAGGCCATCAAGATCCAACCCCCACCACCACAGGGAGGGACACCAACCTCCAGATGTGGTACCCTTACCTGGAAAACGATGTGATTTGTGAACACATGTTTGATGCAACGAACAAAGTACTCTGTTTCTGCTTCTGTGAGCTGCACTGGTTCTGAAGACTTGAATAACGGCCCCAAGCTCTTGAACTCTGGAATGGCTGCCAGTTGCTCTGCACAGAGAGGAAAAGGAAACAGACACTCAGTGACAGCCTTGTTCATTCCTCCCACCTGACCTGTAGCAATCCTCCCACTACTTCAAGCATGAATCCTCTCACATACCTTGGAATATATCCTGACGTGAAGGAGCAACTTTTTCAGGTTTGCTGGTCACTAGGGAAATCTCTGTGAGAAGAAAAGACAAGAAAAGTGCTGTCAGCTCCACTGTGCACTTCTAAATGCCTTTGTGTCTCTGCTAAAAACTCATCAGCCTGTAGCATTTCAAACCTTCTGCTCGTTATCACTGCCACTTCGTTACATGTGCATTTAAAAGTCTCTTCTGCTGGGCAATATTGGATTGCATGGAAAGGAGAGATTTGATAAAGAAAGTGCACTGTAATCTAGAACAGCCAGCAAAAAGCTCACTACACTGACTGCATGACTGCTCCAGTTTCAGTATGCAGCACAACCACAGCTGTGATACATGAGCACAGCAGTACTCGAGACAAGCTGTCATTTCTCAGAAGTCATTAACTTCCTTACTCTGCTTACGTGAGAACATTCAACCCAGGGAATTTGAAATCCCATATCTAAAAGATAAGAAAAGTAGAAAGGGGAAAAAAAAAAATAATCCCACAACATTTTCTAGAAAGGTTTTGCAAGGTCAAGATGGAAGATCAAAGGAAGCCAGTGAAGTGATTTGGTTCAGCCTTCAGCTGAGTCAGTCTTGGCCTCATCCTCCCAGGACAGCAAGCAGTTTACAGACACCAAGTGTCATTATGGCAACCTGAATGCTTACAGTCTTGCCTAGAACCTGACTACAGAAAGCCTGAGCATTATTACCTGCTTTCTGTTCAAAGATGGGTGCAGTGGCCAGCGGAACTGTTTTCATATCAAAAGGTTTGTCAGAAGGCTCCAGTGTATATTGGTGCAGGGCTTTCTCCATTCCAGGAACAGAGACAGTCAGCCCTGTGACACAGAACAGCAGACAGAAGGTTTGACAGGTGGAACTGTCAAAAACCTACAGGCACTATGATACAGGGTTGACAAATGAACACAGCCAGTTCTGTATTGTCCACTGCACTAGAAGCAACAAGGCATCAGTGTCTGAAAAAACTTACCAGTGTTTCAGCCACATCCTTCTTGAGATCAAGTCAAATTATTCCAAAAGTTCTTCTCTGTAGCCTGTCCATTGGATCAGACTGCAGAGAAAAACTGTATGGAATCTAGAGCTCACAGCTAGATAGACTTGGGCTAACAAACAGCTGGTAAAGTACTTCCACTTCTTAATAAACACACACACACTTGCATACATGCACACACATGAAGTACATCAAGATCCTATGCAGAATAAAAAAGCTGCTCTGAAGATGACAGAGAAATTTGCCTTTCCAAAGGGTACTGGAGTCTAAACAGATCACTTGAGAGAAGTCATGTTGCAATAGTCTTAAACCTTAAACACTTCACTTGCATGACCTTTTAGCCACAGGACCATAAAACATTTTTAT